GTTCTCCTGCCCTTTAGAGATCACTATCAGAGATCTCTATCAGAGATCTCTCCACATGTTTGCTTCTCAATTTCCTGCTGACTACTGGGCGGTGGCGGGGGGGGGGGGGGGGGGGGGGGGGGGTGGTGTCTATATTACAATCCTGATGAGGTGATCATCCCTTTCCAGTTCTCAGTTCCACACATATAACTTCAATGGACGTTCTCCCAGGAATATCCTCCCTAAGTACAGCCGTAATGTTATCCTTAAACAAAAACTGCACTCCCCCTCCTCCCTTGCCCCCTTTCAATCCTTCATATAGTGTTTATACACTGGAACATTATGCTGCCAGTTCTGCCCCTCCCTGAGCCACGTTTCGTAATAGCTATGATATCCAAGTCCCATGTTCACAACCATACCCTGACTTCATCTGCCTTACCTGTTCAGGCTTCTTGCAGTGAAATGAATAGTTTATTTAACAGTCTTACCTCACTCTCTGCCTTGCTATTTCCTCCCTTGCCTATTTAACTTGCTCCTCTTCTCTACTGTACCAGCCTCAGACTTATCGCTTTTCTCACTATCTCTTAGGGTGCCACCCCCACCCCCTTACTAGTTTAAAGCCTCCTGAGTAGCATTAGCAAATCTCTTTGGCAGGATATTGGTCCCCTTCCAATGCAGGTGATTTATTGTAGCTTTATGCTTTGGCCTGTATTCCTCTGGAAATACAGTTACCAGTTTGCAGTATAGAATGCACAAGGCACCTTAGAACTTAAAAATTCTGATTAAAAATAATTCAGGAGCTATACTAAACTCAACAACAACTCTGCATATTTCACTGCACTGGCATCACGTCACCTTCCAGATTTTTTAAACCTCATTCATAGGATTTGATTGTCACTGGCAAGGCTAGTATTTAATGCTCATTCCCAATTGTACTTGAGAAGGTGATGCCGAGCTATCTTTTTGAACAACTGTATCTCATGTGATGCAAGTATACTCTCAGCGTGGCTCGGAAAAGTAAAAGTTCTCATGTTAGAATAATATTTAAAGAAACTGCAGACAGATGAAGTACTGTTGCAAACAAAATCTATCATGGTACTGCTCCAGTTTCGTCTTTTAGAATAAAAGAGTGTGTTCTCTCAAAAGTTGACAGTAGTAGCAGCAGAGAAAAAAATGGAAGATGGAAGAGGTAAATGACGCAAGAGAAACTGGGTTAATAAATATTTTGCTTCTCTTAGGTTGACTCCTTTTTACATGTAATCTTTGTAATTTTAAGAAAGCTATCACAGCTAAAACATTTTTACCAATGACCTTGTAAAATACTTCCAATGATACCAACTGGTATCAGCATTAATATATGTCTGTATTAACTTTGTGACAGATTAGTACTTTAGTACTTCCCATATTGTGAACAAATAGCTATAGTCCCAAAGGAACACTGCCCAAAGAATAAGGCTACAAAGTGCTGAATTTGAGCTGTTGTAAATTCTTCAATTTTACTGCTCTTTTATCATTCTTGGCTGTCAAACTGCAGTAACCCCATGAAGGCCAGTATCCCATCACCAAGTCACCCTTTATTTACACATGCACCTCACATGACTAGCTCAAAGCTGGGTTCTAGAGTGATCAGAACCCCTGACACTCCTGTTTATATCTGTTAGCTAGGATTCCCTGATTGTACAGGTTTACAACCCCAATCAGGGAACTCATATCTATGATATCCACCTGGTTGACCACATTTCAATCACTACACAAACAAGTGGGTAATTAAGATATTTTGTTAGGCTGCTTTCTTTTTTTAACTGTGACATAACCTTTGTACATGAAAATATACGAAAATTGTCTATCGTTTATCAAGATTATACATTTAGCTTATATCAAATCTGAAAGAGATTACTTTTCCTTTTTTTCTTTAACAGTTCAAAGAGACGAAAGAAACCTAGCTAACCCTACCTTGAGAGGCAAAGGTTTTATTGCAGGACAGTTAATTCAGAGACCGAGGTAATGTTCTGGGACAATGATTCGAATCCTGCCACGGCAGATGGTGGAATTTGAATTCATTAAAAATCTGGAAATAAGAGTCTAATGATCATAGGGAATCTGTTGTCGATTGTCAGACAAACCCATCTGGTTCACTAGTCTCCTTTAGGGAAGGAAACTGCAATCCTTACCTGGTCTGGCTTACATGTGACTCCAGACCCACAGCAATGTGCTTGACTCTTAACTGCCCTCTGGGCAATTAGGGATGGCAATAAATGCTGGCCTAGCTAGTGATGCCCTCATCCCATGAATGATCAAAAAAAAACTATACATCAGTTACTCCTTGATACATTGAAATGATTCAAAAACCAAAGGTGATTCTAAGCTTCAGAGCTCTGAATTACAGAGTGCAACTTCCAAACAAATTTATATTTTTCCTGCAGAAAGAAAGTTAGGTTTTGAAATGATAAAAGAATTGGATTTATAACTGTGAGTTATTATTTCATTCAATTATTTACTTTGGATAGCACTAGAGGTCACACTCATTAACCTGATATGGTGAAATTATAAATAACTCCATCTTTGTCTCCTCTAAAATATATTGAGAGAAAACAGCTAGTGTCATGTTGGTTGATAAAACCATAAAATGAGCAAATGAGTAATTATGCATATGTTCCCAGCTTTGGGAGAAATAAGTTTATCTTTTTTGTCATGCCATAATAAACCCCTGCATTAATCAGCAGACATTTTATTTCCAGACCATCTAGAACATTCCATCACAGATCAGTCAGGCCAATACAAGAGAGACTGTGGAATTTAATTGCTATAATGTGCTTATTTCCATATGGGCCTAACTAGTGTTCAGTTATTGTTGTCAAACAGTAGTGTCTTTGGTAGTATGATGAAATTTTTGTTTAAATGTTAAGTGAAAATGATTCAGAGCATATTATGAACTGTGATGAACAGAAAGTGAAATGAACTTAACAGGAATGCAATCAGGATCAATGATCATGTGTAAACGCTTTATAAAAAAAAACAAATACCCTATTTCAGCACAGACACTAGGCAGCACCACAACCTAATTAAAGATCATATATGCCGAAGAGATCTTAGCAGATAATATCTTCTTTTTATGTTACTGTTTTATGGTACTTTTGCAGTCTAAGACAGAGAAATTGACCTGAATTATTTTAGATTATTTGAATGTTACTTATGAGAAAATTCTTCCGCTATTAGAAAATCTTTATCACTTTCTATCTATAAGCTACCTATAAAAGAAATTTCTACCATTGGGAAAATATAATAATGATGAGTTCAATGATGAAATTTAAAAATAAATTAGAATTCTCTCTATCAAGTAGCCATATAATTTGATGGGAAATGTTCACTTACTGCCTTATAATTTCTTGTCACTTTGAGCAAAGTTTAAACTGAATTTAGTTTTAGGTCAATAAGTTTTTTTGTTCCAATGCAAAATTTTTTTGATACTTCATTGATACTATGTATATTATAATGTTGTCAAAAGTGGCATTGCTAAACACCTGACAAGGACAAACTCTACAATAATCTACCAAATGTAAAGGCTAGCTAATGCTCAAAAGTAACATAATAATTATTGCCAAAGGATAATGGAATTCATGTTATAAAAGAAATATAAAAAAGGAATGAAAGCAAAGTGGCTCTTAGTGTTCTCTAAATAAAATATAACATAAAAGTATTAACTAATATATATCTACGAATAACACTGCAATGAAAAACAATATTTATTAACAACACCTCGGCCTCCAGGCTGATACAGGTAGTCAATGTAAATTCACTGATAGCATTCTCAACAAGTAAAATGAAAAGGGGCTTGGACTCACTGGAGTTTGTGGCACTGGCAATCACCCCTAGGTTCAAAGCTTGATCATCATGGAATCTTTTTATTAGTAAAACACTATAAAATTTTTCTTCAAATTCTGACAAAAAATCCAACACTTCCTATAGAAATTATCGGATGAGTTGTTACCAGATTATCAATGTATTCCTGCTATCAGTGTTGATATGTGTTCCTTGATGGTCAATGTCTCCCAAGTGGCCTACTGCAAATCAGAAATTTATAACTGAAGAAATTCCAAAGTATTCTTAAATGGCACAATGAGCAAGGACAAAATGCAGTGGACCACTATGTCCCAGACCAGTGACCTAACTAAACTGAATGTTTATATGCACTTATTTTAATTGAAGTGAAATAGTATTTAAATCATTTAGCGTAAACTAGAATTCTATCTACGTTTAACTTTACAGTATTAACTCTCATATATTTAGGGGTTTTAAATAGATTTCTATTAAAAGAAAATCTATTTATTGATAATCCTGAGAAAGACGCTGTTCTATTGACATTTAAAACACATTAAAACTTATCATCAATAAAATTTAGTTGAGATGTTCTGATTACATTATAATAGATATTATGTATTGATCTTTATAGATGACATGCAGACTAGTATATGATCTTTAATTTCTCTTTAAGCTTGTTCACTACAGGCACACACTTTAAGAAATTAAAAACCTGTATGGCAATGAATCTCAGGTCTTGTAGTATTTTCTTTTGACCATGTTCACAGCAATATTCAGACTTTAAAACACAGTAACTGAAAAAGGAAATGAATACAAATCAAAAAAAGGTTCAACATATTTGTAATACCATTTCTCTGAGATCTGCAAAATGTATTCTGCACCACTTTTTGAAAAATAACTTCTATAGAGAATACATTGACAATATTTTCACACTTCATAGTTATATTCCTATTGTTAGCCATCTCATCACGAGTTAGTTCAGGGGAAGAGACTGGTCAGAAGCATTAAAATTTTGCATGGCCATCATCACATCGTTGTTGTACAACAATGGAGAACTTTGAGAATGCGTGCAACTGGGCAACTTTCACTTTTACATAGATAATGTTGCATTCTTAATTATTATCCATTTAGATACATCTCAAGAACAGAATTACCAGAATAAATGGAAAGTTAAACAAGGGAAAGCTAAACATTGGCCTTACCTAGGTTATACCATACATCCATTTCTCCACTGAGGGTTCGAACTTCAATGATGGTCTGCCCCAAAAAATCATCAGATTCCCGCTTAAACCTCTGTTTTACTCGTGATTTAATGTCATCATCTTCATCCCAGACTCGTACTTTTATTCGATCAGAGGAGTTGTGACATTCACTGAAACAAAATAAAGTCTTTTTTTCTGAATCAAGAAAGTTAGTTTTACAATTTATTTTGCATTGTTAGATTTTCAAATAGATTAAAACGTAAGTTTTCAACAAGTTAACCAAGGTAATTCATATAACTTCAAATAAGTTAGGTGCTATGCAATCTGCGGCTAAATGAAGGAGCACAGTAAACTTAGATTTAGAAGTATGAAACAGCTGAGAACAAGAAACAGGAGGAGTAAAACACATGGCTCATCATTCGATATGACCATTACATGTTCTTTGGCTTCAATTCCACTTTCCTGCCCAGTTCCCATATCACTCCATTGCCCAAAAGACCAAAAATTTGTTCACCCCAGGTTTAAACGTATTCAGTGATGAAGATTCAAAATACTCTGGGCCAGAGATATCCAAGACACACAATGCTTTCAGTGAAGAAATGTCTCCTCAGCTATTTATCTTGAGTGTGCCCATGCTTTAGATTCTCTGATATATACAAGGTGTAGAGCTGGGTGAACACCGCACACCCAGCAGCATCAGAGGAGCAGGAAGGCT